GGGCCAGCACATGGCATTTTGTACTTTCTTCCTAGGAGCTCACCACCAATAATAGTATTGGCCAGATCAAGACTGAAAACATAGCTTTGTTTTGTGCATGTGGAGACTACCCACCTTCCAGGTTGACAGTGATTCATTAATTGGTAGTATGCTCAGCCATAACTATTGCATTATGAACTCAACTATTTTCAGACTTTGCCAAAGATTATCAGGAGATGAATCAACAAATCCCTTGCTGGAAACCTTGTCTCTCTCACTTCCTGCTCTCCCACATTAGGTGGCCTGACTCTTAGAAGAGGCAGCCTTGTTCCTAATCATCTAGTCTGTTCCCTCACAGACATTTTTTAAAATGTCTGGCCCCTTTTTACAGCTGATTTGACAACGAGCACGGTGTTATTTTAGCGCCACCTGGGGACAAACATTATGCATTGCCGAAGGGAAGATAGGAAAGAATTAATAAACTTTCTTAACTCAGAAATGTAAGTGGTTTTTTTCTGCCTGTCTGCCCCCAAACCAGGTATTACAATTGTGCAATTACTCCACAGTCCTATGAAATAGGTACTTTGATCAGCCCATTTTACAGATGGAGAAATCGAGACACAGTAAGTATTAGAGTGAGAATTTGATTCTAAGCAGTTTGCTTCCAGAACATGTTCATTTTAACCACTGCGGTACAGAAAGCTTCCCACTTTGCTTCTATATTCTGACAAAAAGAATATTTGACATACAAAGTGTAGAATGGACATCATTAAGAGGAAATGGAAGTCTACAAGGGAAGAAATGATTGCAAGAAACCTTTCAAGAGAAATCATGATCTCTTGGCTGGAGACCTAGACTACTGAGAAAACTCAGAGCTTGCCAAACACGTTTGTAATTCTGAGCTGCTGTGGCGGGGAGAACGGAAGATTGGAATTGGGCAATTTTTCCAAAAGGTAAGATGAATATAGGCATCGTCTGTGAGCACTGACTAGTCCCAACCACCCAGGGTGGGCTCACTGAGACTGGGTCACTTTGGTATGCCTCACTTCCTAACAGGCTGCTGTAGAACTGGATTTCAATCCACCTTCCCAGCATGCCCTTGCAGACAAGATGAAGAACCATGCCTACATGTACAATTAATTATTTCCTGGACCACGATATGACTATCCCATTATTGTGATAAAGGCACTTGAAAAGATACTTTTAGTGGGAAAAGCCAAGATGGAAAAATCTTGATGTCTTGACTAATACAGAGGACAAATAGTTGGGAAGCGTGAACAAAATGTAGGATGGCTGAGGGTCCCCAAACTAAATTGAGGGAGGTAGTTGAATAGGCATGACTATAAGGCATGTGAAGAGTGACCAGCAGCAGCATTGTCAAAGTATAATGTGAGTTACATATTTCATTTTCAATTTTCTAGTTAGTCCCATGTTTTTTAAGTAAAAAAACATGCCCCCCAAAGCCTTTGTTGGCTTTTAAAACTGTGCTTCATGTATTACTTTAATGACATAGCTTACCAAATATACCCAGAGGCTATTACTTCAGCATGTAATTAGCATATAAAATTGTTATTGAAATTTTTATATTATTTTCTGTCTTAAGTCTTCAAAATCAGTTGTGCCTTCTACACTCACAGCGCCTGTCAGCTTGCACCAGCCACATTTCAAGTACTCAATAGCCTCACGTGGCTACAAATCGGTGTGGCTTTCCAGGTTCTTGTGAACACTCAGCTCTGTGCCCAGGCTGCCTCCATTTATGTCCCTCTCAGGCGGGCCGCATTACTGAGGGACTAGGCCAAAAAAACTTCTAAGCATTGATTTTTTTTAGAAAAGAGAAAGGGTCTGGCCTCTTTGGTCTATCAATTACTGTGGAAGCCAGACTGCTGCCCCCTGCTGTGACCTGCAGTGACCAGCATTCAGCCCTGATCCTGAGCATAGGAACAATTTCAGTGACAGACTAGAACTTCTAAAAAGCGCTACCTACTGGCGGGTTTTTTCCTGCTCTGCTTATCTGCCAGAGTCCTTGGCTGAGCCTTTTTGTTCAGGGTATATGTAGTTACTACAGTGACTCGCAATTTACGTTTTACTTCAAAAATAAATTCTTTTCACCAGTGTATTTCTACTAACACCCTATACAACAATTCAAACTGGTTTTAAGTTTCCATATCCTGCTTCCACTCCCAAAACAGGGACTTCTGAGCATTAACACCTTCCCATTCAGGATTCAGGAATACAGCATCCTAATCAATCATGAATGCAACTGACGACCAGGAAGTAGACATAAGTAAATAAATCATCTGAGCAGCCAAGTTGTTAGAAACCCACAGATGTTCAAGTGGAAAAAAAAAAAAGTTCACTTTGCAGAGAAAACATGTTCAGAGACATTATTAGCTTAGCCCTGTGTCACGGAGATTAAGTCTGAGCCCAGGCCAAGCATTCTTTTTGCTTTATTATGTACCTGGAATGACATCTTTTCTTGCAAAATTGAAGACAATAATGTATTCAGTTCTCCTACCATCGCTTCTAAAAATCCTTCCACAGCTTTTTTTTTTTTTTTAACTTATGAATTCATGGTGATTGAAGAGTATTTTCTGAAGCAGCCTGTTGTTTAAATGCCAGGCAACCACTTGTATGCTGTGACTTGTTAACTCAATATCCTCCCCTGTAAATTGAGGATAACTCTTTCCATATGCCTCATCCGTGTAAAGCTTTTGGACAGAACTTGGCCCATAGTCATCCTGAATAAATCTTTTTACTCATTGAGTAAAAGAACATATTTTCACTTGAAAACTCTGTAGTATGTTGGACCTTCTGGCGTGATGGGCCTACTGTAACTTCCCAAGTCACAGAACCCCTCTGAAATGTTCCTAGACAGATGGGCATTTTGGGTAGGGGCTTGCTGCCTCATAGATCATTCTATTTTCAGATATCACTAACTTCTGGCAAAGCAGTTAGTTGCACCATAATGCAAATTGCTTGGACTCGGGAGTCTGGTTTTATGATCTTCCCATCATTTCCACCACAACCACCTTATAACTGTTTTATTACAAGAAAATCTATGGCAACTTTGATATCTTTCCACACTATAATGTAATCTGCTTCAGATAAAGCAGTTAACAGGAACTGAATGAAGAGTCAAATGATTCATAGCAATCTGGATTATAAATTTTAAAAAAAGTAACAAGTACCCAATTATTATTATTTGAAAGCAAGGCTATGGGGCTTACTAGCCAACATTAGTAACTAGCTCTTAGTGACTGCTGTGAAAATCTTGGAAAGAAGGAGATTAGCCAAGTGCAAATGATGATCACAAGTTCTCCTGGACTAAGATATGTAAGGGAAATGTTGACAGCGATTTCCAAGAGGTGCTCAACTAGGATAACTTGGTACATGATATTAAATATGCAAAAGGTCCCACTTAGGATTTTAAGTGGTTTCATTTAATTGCTCAGACAGATATTCAGCTTTTGAGGTAAGCCTTTTAATTTCATTCTTTTATTTCACAATAGTTGGATTTACTCAAGTCCAAATCATGTCTGATTGAGGTTAAAAGGTATGCTGCTTTTTTTTTTTTTTTGGCCCTCCCTGGTGGTGCAGCGGGTTAAAGCACAACACTAAGAAGCTTAAGCCACTCTGCATGAGTTCGATTCCCGCCTG